GCCCAGATGACAGAGGAAGACTCTGTCTCAATAATAATTATTATTATTATTATTTTTTTTTTGAGACAGAGTTTCACTCTTGTTACCCAGGCTGGAGTACAATGGCGTGATCTCAGCTCACCGCAACCTCCGTCTCCTGGGTTCAAGCAATTCTCCTGCCTCAGCCTCCCGGGTAGCTGGGACTACAGGTGTGCGCCACCATGCCCAGCTAATTTTTGTATTTTTAGTAGAGATGGGGTTTCACCATGTTGACCAGGATGGTCTTGATCTCTTGACCTCATGATTCACCTGCCTTGACCTCCCAAAGAGCTGGGATTATAGGCGCGAGCCTCCGCACCCGGCCTATTATAATAATTTTAAAGCAAATACTTGCAAGAGTCCAAGAACCCAAATTTTCTACATTAAAATTTTTTTTCGGGCTGGGTGTGATGGCTCACATCTGTAATCCCAGCACTTTTAGAGGCCAAGGCAGGAGGATTGCCTGCAGTCAGGAGTTCAAAACTAGCCTGGCAACAGAGTGAGATCCTATCTCTAGAACAAATTTTTAAAAATCACCAAGCACTGTGGTACACACCTGTAGTCCCAGCTACTGGGGAGGCTGTGACAGGAGGATTGCATAAGCCCAGGAGTTTGAGGTTACCATGAGCTATGATCACACCACTGCATTCCAGCCTGGGCAACAGAATGAGACCTTGCCTCTTTAAATAAATAAACATAGATAAAAAAATTTTTTTTCGATGACCTAAAACTTCAAGCCCTTGAAAATATTTTTTCTATTGTTTCCAGTGCATACACCTTACTATACAAAAGAATGTGCCAGGCACAGTGGCTCATGCCTGTAATCCCAGCACTTTGGAAGGCCAAGGCGGGCAGATCACTTGAGGTCAGGAGTTCACGACCAGCCTGACCAATAATATGAAACCGCATCTCTACTAAAAATACAAAAATAAGCTAGGCATGGTGGTGGGCACCTATAATCCCAGCTATTTGGGAGGCTGAGGCAGGAGAATGGCTTGAGCCCGGGAGGCAGAGGTTGCAGTTGAGATCATGCCATTGCACTCGAGCCTGGGTGACAAGAGCAAAACCTCTGTCTCAAAAAAAAAAAAAAAAAAAAAAAGGAAAGAATGTAGGGCACAGAAACCATCTAAAATCTTCCAGGAAATACCATTCTAAGAGTCAGGAGTACATTCAGGTTATAATACACACACACACATACATACACACTTTTTTTTTTCTGAAACATGGTCTCATTCTGTCACCCAGGCTGGTCGTGGCATGATCTCAGCTCACTACAGCGTCTGCCCCTTGGGCTCAAGTAATCATACCACCTCAGCCTCCCAGGTAGCTGAGACCACAGATTGTAAGCCACCACACCCAGCTAATTTTTGTGTTTTTTTGTAGAAACGAGATTTCGCCATGTTGCCCAGGCTGGTCTCAAACTCCTAAGCTCCATGGCGTGAGCCACCATGCCCAGCCTATCACATATATAAAATACAACTTCGATGTTTACTAAATGATTTTTACCAGCCCTCATTTCCGCTGCTAAAAACATTACATCCTAACCTAATGTTAATAAATACAGCATAAATACCAAGCAAATAATTGAAGAGAAAGTATAGAACGATTCTATATAACAATTCTATATAATCTACAAATGTACATTATATTACATAAACACACATAAAACGTTCTGTTTTATAATTTAACATGCCATATCTAGCAACATATCTCACACACAAAATAGAATCATTAGTACCCACTCGACAGGAACCTTTAATGTTTTCACTTGTTCAGAGTCTAAGAAATAACAGCATCCTAACACCTAGAAATGCCAGACAGTGACCTACCATGAGGCAAAAATCACCAGCCTACTTAAAAAAATAACTACTGGTATAATAATGAACTTCTGATACACTCAATAACAAGTAACTATGTTTTTCAAAATATTAGTATTTATTGAAACAACAAAATGTTACCTAATTCTGACTTTCCTAGTGTAGGAGGCAAAGATGGTTCTACTAGGGCCCAGATTTTTCTACCCCATAAATTCACTTTAGGTGTAAATTTCTAATTTCTGCTTAAAAATAAATAATTACTAAATACATTATCTATTTCTGAGTACCTAGCTACTTAAGATTTAAATAGATGCAAATGTTTAATTGAATCTATAAAAATAGTTAAGTAAAAAGAAAATACAATTTAGTTTGGGCTCGGCTCATGGCTATAATCCCAGCACTTTGGGAGGCCAAGGCAGGTGGCTCACTTGAGGCCAGTTCAAGACCAGCCTGAGCAACATGGTGAAACCCCGTCTCTCCTAAAAATAAAAAAGTTAGCTGGGCGTGGTGGTGTGCAACTGCAATCCCAGCTACTTAGGAGGCTGAGGCAGAAGAATTGCTTAAACCTGGGAGGTGAAGGTTGCAATGAGCCAAGATTGCCCCATTGTACTCCAGCCTGGGCAACAAGAGCAAAGACTCTGTCTCAAACAAGAAAAAAAAATTAAATACAATTTTAACTTTTAAAAAAAATTTATTTAAAAAAATTTGGGAAGCGCACACAGTGGTTCATACCTGCAATCCCAGCACTCTGGGAGGCCAAGGCAGGTGGATCACTTGAGACCAGGAGTTTTAAGACCAGCCTGGCCAACTTGGCGAAACTCCATCTCTACTAAAAGCACAAAAATTAGCTGGGTGTGGTGGCCATGCCTGTAATCCCAGCTACTCAGGAGGCTGAGGCATGAGAATTGCTTAAACCCTGGAGGCAGAGGTTGCAGTGAGCTGAGATCACACTACTACACTTCAGTCTGACGACAGAGTGACACTCCATTTCAAAAAATGTTAATTGGGTACAGTGGCCCACGCCTGTACTCCCAGCTGCTCAGAAAGCTGAGGCAGGAGAATTGCTTGAACCCAGGAGGCAGAGGTTACAGTGAGCTGAGATTGAGCTACTGCACTCCAGACTTGACAACAAAACAAGACTCTGTCTCAAAAAAAAAAAAAAAAAAAAAAAATTTGTAGAGATGAAGTCTCATCATATCTCCCAGGCTGGTCTTGAACTCCTGGGCTCAAGCAATCCTACTGCTTTGGTCTCCTAAAGTGCTGGGACTGCAGATGTGAGCCACTGTGCCTGGCCTACACTTTTAAAGAAAAAGTGATTTAGAGAAAATATTATGGTCTAAAATCAAAAAAAAGGAAACTTTATTAATACCCAGAGTTACCTACATTCAATTTAACACAGTAGTCTACAGACACGATTTTAAAATTCTGTTTAAAAATTAGAGTCAGTTTGTGGTAAATACCAATTAAGAATTTCAAGCTGGGCACAGTGGCTCACCCCTGCAATCCCAGCACTTTGGGAGGCTGAGGTGAGCAGATCACATGAGGTTAAGAGTTCAAGACCAGCCTGACCAACATGGAGAAATCCCATCTCTACTAAAAATACAAACTTAGCCAGGCGTGGTGGCACATGCTCAGCCTCCTGCTATTACAGCCTCTTGTAATTCCAGCTATTCAGGAGGCTGAGCAGGAGAATCACCTGAATCCAGCAGGCGGAGGTTGCAATGAGCCGAGATCATGCCATTGCACTCCAGCATGGGCAACAAAAGCATAACTCTGTCTCAAAAAAAAAAATTCATACTTGGGCCAGGTGCAGTGGCTCATACCTATAATCCTAGCACTCTGGGAGGCCAGGGCAGGTGAATTACCTGAGGTCAGGAGTTTGAGACCAGCCTGGCTAACATGGTAAAACCCTGTCTCTACTAAAAATACAAAAAATTGGCCAGACATGATGGCAGGCACCTGTAATCACAGCTATTTAAGAGACTGAGGCAGGAGAATCGCTTGAACCCAGGAGGTGGAGGTTGCAGTGAGCTGAGATTGCACCACTGGACTCTAGCCTAGGCGACAGAGCCAGATTCCATCTCAAAAAAAACAAAAACGAAGTTTCATTCTTGGCATGGTCTGGTGGTTCAAGCCTATAATCCCAGCACTTTGGGAGGCTGAGGTGGGGAGATCACTTGAGGCCAGGAGTTCAAGACCAGCCTAGCCAACATAGCAAAACCCTGTCTCTACCAAAACTACAAAAAGTAGTGAAGTATGGTGGCCATGTCTGTAATCCCAGCTACTGGGGAGGTTGAGGCATGAGAATTGCTTGAACCCAGGAGGAGGAGGTTGCAGTGAGCCAAGATTGCATGACTGCACTTCAGCCTGGGCGACAGAGTAAGACTCTGTCTCAAAAAAGAAAACAAAAAAATATAAAAATTGGCTGGGTGCAGTGGCCTACACCTGTAGTCTCAGCTGCCTGGAAGGCTGAGAGACAAGAATCGCTTGAGCCTGAGAGGTGAACGTTGCAGTTAGCCGAGATAACGCCACTCAACAGAGCAAGACTCTGCCCAGCACCCCCACAAAAAAAGAAAAAAAAAATTCCTATTAACTTAGGTGCAATTTTCTAGCAGCCAAAAACATTTTTCTCTTAAAGACTTTTTTTTTTTTTTTTTTTTTTTGAGACGGAGTTTCACTCTTGTTACCCAGGCTGGAGTGCAATGGCGCGATCTTGGCTCACCGCAACCTCCGCCTCCTGGGTTCAGGCAATTCTCCTGCCTCAGCCTCCTGCGTAGCTGGGATTACAGGCACGCGCCACCATGCCCAACAAATTTTTTGTATTTTTAGTAGAGACGGGGTTTCACCATGTTGACCAGGATGGTCTCGATCTTTTGACCTCGTGATCCATCCGTCTCGGCCTCCCAAAGTGCTGGGATTACAGGCTGAGCCACCGCGCCCGGCCCCAAAGACTTTTATTAGTAGATATACGAAGCAGTATGTTGTACTACTAGTGAAAAGTCTTTAAAAAAAAAAGGAAAGTCTTGACTTAGAACTAGATTTGAACCATGACCTAGCCGTATGATCTGGGGTACTTAACCTCTCTGTACATTAATTTCATCATCTGTAAAATAAAGTACCCACTTCATAGAGCTGTTTTGAGGATTAAATAGACAAAATACTTACCGATGATAGGCTTCTCGACGATACTTTTTCAGGGCATGCTTATCCATGTTAGCAGGCATATCTGCTGCATTCTGTAACCGATCACTCCAGGAGGTTGACATTTTATTTCAACTGTATTTTGTATTCTAGAAAAGAAAAGCAGTAATTTAGTAACTTAATATTGGCATCTGTATACTGACATCTGACAGATTTTTTAAAATATCAGAAAAACTCCAGCTTGCAAACGCCTAATAATTGCCTATTAAAACATACTGAATACAGTAAATATGCTGAAAATTATACTGACACTTCTCAACAATGTAGAGTTACAAAAATAATTTCAGAGCCCGGCGCAGTGGCTCACATCTGTAATCCTAGCACTTTGGGAGGCCATGGCGGGTGGATCACCTGAGGTCAGGAGTTCAAGACAAGCCTGGCCAACAGTGAAATCCCATCTCTACTAAAAATACAAAAAATTAGTGGGGTGTGGTGGCAGGCGCCTGTAATCCCAGTTACTAGGGAGGCTGAGGCAAGATAATAGCTTGAACCCGGGAGGCGGAAGTTGCAGTGAGCCGAGATTGCACCACTGAACTCCAGACTGGGCAACAAGAGCAAAACTCTGCCTCAAAAAAAAAAAGAGAAAGAATTTCATATGGTAATTTCCATCAGGAAAGGTACTATATACTTCCAAATAATTAAACATGACTGCCAGTAATTAGTAACTCCAATCCTAGATTCTAAAAAAGGCATTAAAACCACAGAACAGCATAGTTTGTCAATACATATAATTTTCAGTTGATGTATGTTTTTAAAACACGTGTAGCAGGCAAATTTTAAATTCTGATCAACAGATTCTGGTGTGCAGAGAAGCAGCAATAGGTACAACTACTGGGTTGGAGCCGGGTACGGCTTGATTCCTCATCCCGGTGAGACGTCAGTCCCACCCCTCTCCCTGCCCAGCCAACTCCACTGTACAACCCCTAATGTGCTAACCTGGGTTGGCTACTGGCTGCCCCCCAGCAGACCCCCATCATGGGCAGCCAGAACTCCAAGGCTGCTCAGGAAGTGCCAGGGCTGCAACAGGTACTTCCTCTGCAAAGGCCAATGGACAGGACAATGGCCATGTGAAAAGCAATGGAGACTTATCTCCCACAAGTGAAGGAGAGTCACCTTCCATGAACAGAACACATAAGGCAGCCAGGGCCACAGGCAATGCCATCCCGCCAGCATCCCCTATCCTGGGTGCAGAAGCAAAGGGGGCGGTCTCCGCTAAGAAGTTCTGTCTCAAGAAGTCTTTCAAATTCAGCAGCCTGCCCTTCCACAAAAATTGGAAGGAGGATGCAACAATTCTTCTGCCTCTCAGCCACAGAGGAAGAGCAGGAGCAAGGTGCCTGCAGCAACAAGGGCACTGCCCAGGAAGGGAAAACTGTTGCCACCCCTGAGAGCCAGGAGCCCCAGGCCAAGGGGGCAGAGGGTAATGTGGCCTCAAAAGAGGCCCCAGGCTTGGGGTCCCCCACTCCCTTGGGGCAGAGAGTGGCCCTATACCAGGTAATGCTGAGCAGAATGAGTAGCTAGGTGGGGGCAGGTTGGTGATCTCTAAGTTGCCTTCCTGTGCCCAGATAGGAAGGGGCTATTACCTCCTACCAGCCACATTCCATTTCCCCCTCTCCCTCCTATGGATTCTCCCATCAGTCACCTGGTTTTCCTCTTAAGGTCAGCTGAAGATGGCCTTAAGCTGATAACTTCCCAAGTTAGGTTAGTGATGTAAAATGCTCCTGGCCCTGGCCCTACTTCTTTCCCTGTCCCCACCCTTGCAGAAGGCAACTGTTGGTTTTCTTCCTCAATTCTTTTCCAAGTTGGTTTTGTTTACCCTACTCCCCAAATCCCTCAGTCAGAAGAGGGACGCTTATACTCCCAAACATTGCATGCCCAGCCTCCCACCACTGAGTTTTTAGTCTCTTGTGCTGTGTCTGGTGGCACTTGGGCTGGAAGGGACACTGTCCCATCTAGGTTTTTGGGTTGTTTTTGCAACAGGGTCGCAGTGGCATGATCTCTGCTCACTGAATCCCAGGTTCAAGTCATCTTCCCACCTCAGCTTCCCTAGTAGCTAGGACCACAGGCGAGTGCCATCACGCCTGGCTCATTTTTTTGTATTTTTTGTAGAGGCGAGTTGTCTACAAAAAATATTGCCCAGGGTGGTCTCAAAACTCCTGGGCTCAAGCAATCTGTTCACCTCAGCCTTCCAAAGTGCCAGGATTACAGGCGTGAGCCACCCGCCAGCCTCCATCTAGCTTTTCTTTTTTTTTTTTTTTTTTTGAGATGGGAGTTTTGCTCTTGTTACCCAGGCTTGAGTGCAATGGCGCGATCTCGGCTCACCGCAACCTCCGCCTCCTGGGTTCAGGCAATTCTCCTGCCTCAGCCTCCTGAGGCTGGGATTACAGGCATGCACCACCATGCCCAGCTGATTTTTTGTATTTTTAGTAGAGATGGGGTTTCACCATGTTGACCAGGATGGTCTCGATCTCTTGACCTCGTGATCCACCCGCCTTGGCCTCCCAACGTGCTGGGATTACAGGCGTGAGCCACCGCGCCCAGCCCCTCCATCTAGGTTTTCATAAATGTTTTACTCATGTTGAACCTCCAGCTTTCTTGGTAAGGAAGTATTAGACTTTTGGGTTACGGGTAGATCTATAACATGAAACAACTTGTCTTTTCTTCTCCCATTGTTATAAATAACTTTTAATGGCAAAACTTCATTTCTAATTTTTTTTTAAGCTGCTAAAACCATTCTCTTCCAACTGGTTTTACTGTTAACATTTGGAAAAGAAAAAAATGCCATCCCTTTAAAAAATAAAAAAATACATTTTGATCAACATACTAAGTTCGTCGATGGTGGCACAAATACAAGCAATAAATATTTGATTTCTATTTATTTCATGCTTTTATATTTTTCTGTAATTATTTTTCAGCTGGCAATAGAGACTATGAACAAAAAGAAGGAATAAACTAAAACATTTCATCTAGGCCAGGCACAGTGGCTCACACCTGTAATCCCAGCACTTTGGGAGGCTGAAGCAGGTGGATCACCTGGGTCAGGAGTTTGAGACCAGCCTGGCCAAGATAGCAAAACCCTGTCTCTACCAAAAATACAAAAATTAGCTGGGCATGCTGGTGCATGCCTGTAATCCCCAGCTGCTAGCAGGGTTGAGGCAGGAGGGTTACTTGAACCTGTGAGGTCGCAGTGAGCCGAGATCATCGTGCCACTGCACTATGGCCTAGGCAACAGAGGGAGACTCCATACAAAGAAAAAAAAAAGTTCATCTAATTAGGATAAACATCTAAAATGAGGTGGGCAGCTTAAGTATCTTTAACTACTCTAACATTAGACTATTACTAGGTTTCACTTCTGTTTCTGAAGTTTTCATTAGTAAGTAGCTTCAAATAAGAATGAAAAATATCCTCTTAAGAGTTAAGAAGTGTATTAACATTTTATAAAAATAGCATTATGGCCACGCCTGGTGGCTCAAGTGCTGTAATCCCAGCACTTTAGGAGGCCGAGGTGAGTGGATCACAAGGTCAGGAGATCAAGACCATCCTAGTCAACATGGTGAAACCCCGTCTCCACTAAAAAACACAAAAAATTAGCCAGGCATGGTGGCGGACACCTGTAGACCCAGCTACTTGGCAGGGGAATCGCTTGAACCCAGGAGGTGGAGGCTGCAGTGGGCCGAGATCATGCCACGGCATTCCAGTCCGGCAACAGAGCCAGACTCCATCTAAAAAAATAATAAACAACAAACAAACAAACAAAAAAAACCCAGCATTATTTGTGAAATCATTTGGAGCCTAAGTTACTTCCCATCTTGAAAATGCTATCATATATGACATATGACATGAATAATATACCTCCCTTCCTCTCTCCCTTCTTCTGAAACGGGGTCTCCCTATTGCCCAGGCTGGAGGGCAGTGACATCGTCATAGCTCACTGCAACCCTGAACTCCTGGGCTCAAGTGATCCTTCCACTTCAGACTCCGGAACAGCCAAAACTACAGGTACTCACCACAATATCCAGCTAATTGTTTTTTAATTTGTGTACAGATAGGGTCTCACTATGTTGTCCAGGTCAAGTCTTTTTTATATAAACAACCTCTGTGGCTTTTTAAAAAATAATTTATTCAGGTCAGGCATGGTAGCTCACGCCTGTAATCCAAGCACTTTGGAGGCCAAGGCGGGCGGGTCACCAGAGGTTGAGAGTTCAAGAGCAGCCTGGGCAACATGGCAAAACATGATCTTTACAGAAATTGAAAAATTAGCTGGGAATGGTGACACAAGTCTGTGGTTCCAGCAACTTAGGAGGCTGGTATGGGAGGATCACCTGGGCCCAAGAGGTTGAGGCTACAATGAGCCAAGATCATTTCGTACCACTGCACTCCAGCCTGGGCAACAGAGACCTTGTCTCAAAAAAAAAAAAAAAGGAAAACTTACACACAAATGTTCATAGCAGCTTTGTAATGGTCAGAAAACTTATACACATATGTTCATAGCACTTTTGTAACGGCCAGAAACTACAAACAACCCAAATGTTATCAACAAGTGAATGGATAAAAAAATTATGGTACATCTGTACAATGTAACAGTACTATGCAATATAAAGTATTTATATGCAAAACATTAAAAAATTTATAATAATTACACTGAGTGAAAGGAGACAAAAGGAGTGCATAGTGTATGATATCATATATATAAAATCCTAGAAAACACAGACTACTATGACAGAAAACAGATCAGTGGTTCCCTGGGGTAGGAAGGTCAAGTAGAGAAAGAGAGGAGGAGATATTATTACAAAGGAGCCCAGGAAAACTTCTGGGGAAAAGGGGTGATACGTTCAGTATCTTCCATTATGGTGAGGATTTCATGGGGCGTGTGGGTGTGTATGTGTATCTAACATATACAAGTTAAATATATATAAACATATATAACATATACATATATACATGTTAAATATATATCACATATATAGTTAACATATATATGACATACATATATTTAACATGTATATATGTTAAAACTTTTTATAGGCCAGGTGCAGTGGCTCACGCCTTTAATCCCAACACTTTGGGAGACCTGAGGTCGGGAGTCCGGGAC